TAATTTTTAACTTTCTTTATTAACCATCTCCTAACCTACAATCTTATTCATGTCCATTGATATACTGATTAGATAATTAGTTTTGAAAAAAAATTATTGTTTTAATTGTAAATTACATAAAAAGTTAAAAAAAAGTGAGGTATTTGAATTCTTTCATCCTTCCAGTGTAAAAAAAAAAATTGTAAATTAAATTATTACATATATATATATGCATATATGCCATTAGAAATTACTACTATATTTTAAATTTAATTACAACTATAAAGAATGAAAAACATGAAAAAGAGTCAATAAAATTTTGAGATTTTAAATTTAAATTTTATTATATGTAGGTTTAGTTTAATTTTATATTTAATTTAATTAATTATTTAATAATTTATTATATATGAATACAATATTAATCATAATTCATATTTATAATTTCATTAAAAAAAAAAACTACAGATAATTGGACAACAAACAAAAATGTTCGGACAGCTTGACCTTGACCTTGCATAATTTAGGTTATCATGACTTTTTAAGGAAGCAACAAAGAAGCAACCAGGAAAGAGCACGCTCCCACAGCTCGTCCTCGGTCCTGCAAAAAATCCAACATGGAGAGTGCTAGCTCTGCAAGCAAGAAGAGAAAGATTCCCCATGACGATGACGATGAGGAAGAAAAGATAGAGAAATTCTATGCTCTCATCAAGAGCACACGCGAGGCTCGTGATCGTTTGATCATGAACAACATCAGCTCAGCAGAAATTATGGAGAAGGAGGCTGCAGATCATCAGAGCAAAACCAAGAAGCAAAAGCTTGAAGAAAAGAAGCAAGTGGTAGTCTGGAAGCCTGCTTTTCAACGTGAAGATTTCTTGGAAGAGGCTGATAAGTTTAAGAAACCGCATGTGATGAGCTTAGCGAGTACTTCTCAAAGTAAAGAGGAACTAATAATGTTCAGAAAGAAGAGGCTAAAGAAGAGTTAGACCTTAGCCTTTCACTTTAAGGGTTTATCAAGGTTTTGGGAAGAAATGCGAGAATGTAGCTATTGGAAGATGGGGTTTCATGGATCAAACTGTTCACATCAAAGAGAGTAGATGGCCGGATGTTCCACGCTAGAAGGTGAGAAAACACCATCAAGCATTTTCCATGTACTTCTTGTTTCTTTGGTAGTTTAATTATAATTAGTGAGTATTATTTTATATCTCTTTTGGCTATTATAATTAGTGAGTGTTATTATATATCTCTTTTGGCGACATTAAGAGCTTAGGTTGGAGAGAGAAATCATGAAAGTGTTCTCTATATATTTCTTGTGTTTGATTTTGATCACGGCAGTATGTATTCACCTAAATCCTAAAACCAAATTATAAAACGACAAATGTGTTTCTGAAAATAAATTTTCAGGCCATGTACTGTGACTTTGTATTATTATTATTATTATTATTATTATATTTCACCGGTTGTGTTTTGGTCGTCCGAGTTCAAGTCGTCGCCTAGAGACGCAGGAATCTAAAGATTTCAAAAGAGTCAAAAACGTAAATTGGTCTGCGAGTTACGATTATACTAAACATTAGAAACGATTTAACCTACCCCAAAGATTTTGTACTACAAAGTTATGTTTTTGTCTGTTACTACAATTTTTTTTTCTTAATTGATGATTATCGACATTGCTTTTTTTTTTTTTCTTTTAAGCAAAATTTTATTAACAATAGCTAAATTGAGAGGGGACCCCTTTCAACGATTAGAGCGCAGAACATTGAAAAACTCCTAAAACAGCAAAAAACAAAGCATAAGGCAAAACACAAAGGAACTAAGACCATAAGCAAGACAAATAACTGTTACCACCAGGCCATAAAAGAATCATCCCTATTATCCCCACCATCATGACTGTATAACTTAACTATTTATTTAATTGATCGATATATTAACTATATCTTTTATTTCTAGTTAATTCAATATATATACTTAGAAAATTTTTTTATTACTTTACCACTAGTCTATAATTAGATAATATAATTTTTTTGGATTAAATTTTACTTCAATAAGAAAAGGATAATTAACTTTTTTGTCTCAATTTCTTTAATATTTTCAAAGACTTAAATGGAAATTTTCAGAACTATCAATGAATAAAATATTGGATAAATAGCATACATATTGGATATCATTTTGGTCTTTATACTTCGAAATGTCACTTATTGGTCCCAAAATTTTTAACATTATAACGAAATAATTTTTTATCAATAATCTTGTTAATTTTGATCTTAAATTTTATTTAGATTTTAAATTTTATTTATTTTAAACTATAATATCTGATAAAATATATTAAAAACCTACATTATATTCAAAAAAATTAAATACTTATTAAAAGAGAATATTCTAAAATTCATTTATTTTAAATTATAAAACTAGATAAAATATAATAATATATTATATCAAAAATTTAAAAACAAAAACTTATGAAAACAGAAAATTTTAAAATTTATTTATTTTAAACTATAAAATTTGATAAAATATAGTAAACATAGTATATTAAAAACTTTTAAAAAGAAAATTTTGAAATTTATTTATCTTAATTTATGAAACTAGATAAAATATAATAATATTTTATATCTAAAACTTTTTAAAAATAAGCTTCTTAAAAAATTTAAAATTTTATTTATTTTAAACTATAAAATTTGATAAAATATATTAAAACTATAATATATTTATATATTTAAAAAACAACTTATTAAAAAAGAATTTTGAAATTTATTTATTTTAAAAGATAAAACCAGATAAAATATAAAAATATATTATATCTAAAAATAAAAAACTATAAAACTATAAATTTGAAATTATTTAATTTAAACTATAAAATTTGATAAGATATATAAAACTATGTTATATTTAAAAATTAAAAAAAAAACTTATTCAAAAAGAGAATTTTGAAATTTATTTATTTTAAATTATAATATTTTATAAAACATATTAAGAATATATAATATATTTAAAAAAATTAAAAATAGAAAATTTAAAAACTTATATATTTAAATTATAATATTTGTACTGTTAAAATGTATATTATGTTAAAGAAATAAAAAACAAAAAATATTTTAAAATAAAACATTTTAAAATGTATTTAGTTTATAGTATAATACTCGAGAAATATATTAATTTAAAAACTGTTCATTTTTTATTATTTATTATTTTCTTATTTCTTCTTTATTTCTTTTTTTTTTTTCAACTTCCTGCTATCACATCAAACACTACTTAATAATAAAGTTAATGGACAAATTGACGGAAAGAACTTTTCGTTACGATCTTTGACAATGAAAGGCCGACAAAAAATTTGTTGAAATTTAAAAACTAAATTGATATTCGCCACAAAATTTCCAGTCCACGTATGCCATGTGCTCTAAAATATTAGGATATTATTAAGGGTTGATGGCTGTACTGATCTAAGAAAAAGTAATGATCGTTGGAACTCAAGGTTTCATCGCTTGTACGCAAAGGAAGAAAGAACAGAAAAATTATGATCAAATTATGCCAAAAGTCTCTGTATTTTATAAAATTTTAAAATTGAATTCGTATATTATAATTTATATAAACTTAATTTTTATATTATTTTAATTTGATAATTTTAATTTAAATATTAATTTCATTAATTTTTGTCATTAAAAATATTAACATGATTGTTGATTTAATGATATAAACGTTGACTTTGTTAACTCGATCTTGATTAGTTGACGTGATAATTTTGATTAATGTTATTATTATCATTTATATTATCAATTAAAAATATTCATTAATGTTATTATTATCATTTATATTAATTAATTATAATATTAATAATTAAATTATTATCATAATTAAGATTATTTCAATTAGTTTAAATATATCATGTAACAAAATTTACAATAAACCTCTATTGTATTGAATAGAGTTACATTTGTAATGAATCCAAAATGAATTATAAATGGAATGACCATTCCATCCAACTAAACAAAATAAAAAGATTCAAATCTAAATTTTTATGTGAGACGAATGTCTATTCATTTTGAATGTCGAATTTTGAATCTTAACAAAATGAAATAAGAAAATAATTTATTTAATAAATCAAAAATCAATATCATCTATCATAATGAAAATTTTTAATTTTATTGTGTTTTCACAAAAAGAATTTATCTAAATAATTATATTAAATTAAATAATAAGGTTCATTCTAAAACTAATAAACATTAAATTTAGTAAATTACTTTAATGTATTTAAAATTTTAAACCTAGATTTGATTATAAAAATCACTTAAATAGGGTTTAACTTAAATGAATAAAATTACTATGTGATGAAAAAATTTACTCTTATGATATGGAATTATAATTTTAATTTATTTAATAAATTAATAAAAAATAATAGTTTTACTACATTAGATAGTGACAAATTTGTAATCATTAATTGAAAAAAATTGTGATAGATTTTTTATAGATTTGTGTAAAAAATTTTTTGTTCATATAATCACGGTATACTACAATTGTGACAAAATTATGATAAAATTAGTAACAAATTTTATATTTTATGGTGGAATGTAATTAGAAATTGTGATAGAATATTGTGATAGATTTTATAATATTGTGACAAAATATTATAATAGAATATTGTGAAAAACTTTAAAATTTAATATTTTTAAAAAACTAAATAATTTCTAAAGAATCCAAAATATTTTGTATAATATTTTTTTGTATAAGATGGATTAAATTTCAAATTTTGTGAATATAAATACTAAATTTCAAATTTCGTGTGAATATAAAGACTAAATTTCAAGTTTAGTGCCAATAAATGAACTAATTTCGTGCCGATAAATGAAGATGCTTGTGAAGAAGAATTGATTAAAAGTGGAGAATCTTCTAACCAGTTTGCTGAGGATGTTGAGTTGCAGGAGAAATAAACCGTAGGACACATATATAGCACACTAACACTACACCAATCTTCAATGTTATCTGCTTCAAATGGAACCCACTTCAAAGCCAGAACTACAACTATCTTTATCACTATTGGTGCATTAATACTCAAAGATAAATTATAATAAGAATATGATGTAGATGGAGGCCAAGAAAGCATATCTGGAAGAAGATACTAAGAAGGATAAGAAACATAAATTAAGATGATAAAGGTGATAAAGTGATTGTTAAAAGATAATGCAACAGATGATTTGTCTTACAATATTGATCAATTCGTAAAGATTAGAATAGGAACAGATCTACAGTCAGAATGAGGCATTAGACAGCGAAATTCTAATTCTACATTAGTTTCCTGGAAAGTGGGTGCCACATATATGAAAAAACAAAGATGCTTTTTCTGATGGGCTCAACTTTAAGAATATCAATGTCTTCACTGCCTTCATGGAGATGCAACTGCACAATCGTGGATTCTGGCTGATCGCCTCAATGTGAGTTGTGTCCATGTTATTCTTCTCTTCTCCATCCATTCCTGTCTGTTGCAACACAAACACAATAAGATTCCAATTCAAAAAGCTTAAAACAAAGGTGCTTTGTTAGAATAGTTATTCCAATTCAGATGAACTCGAATTGACAATATAAAATCCGGAGAAATCTTGTTGATCCTGAACTGGAGCTGAATAAATCTTTTCCAAAAAATCAAAATAGTTGCTCACTTCATCTTTCATTCTGCTTTTTATAGTACAACTCTTTAAGAGAGCTGCTAATTGCTCCCATCTCAAACTCATCAAGCAACTCAACTAAAGTGCTAGGCTTTGGTAAGTTTCTTTAATATCTTTGTCCGCAGAGATAATCAAAGGCATGGCATGGTGCTCAAAAAGGAATTAACATGCATTTTGTGCTCCTCTCTCTCAGCAAGAAGCACCAAACTTGGTTTCTCCTTCACAACAGGTTTGGTTGAATGCTTAACCATCAGAGAAAAATACTTTGATGCAATTCCCTTTCTCCTAATATTAGATCCCAACACCAAAGATGCAACAATAGCAGCAAATGCTAAAAACCCAAACAAAACTTTGATAAGTATTTCAGTTCCCAGAAGTATTTCATGCATCTTCATATGCTTTATATGCTTCATGTTATATCCAACGATACCCAGGAAAATTCATAATTCAGAAAATTCTAAATCTGGATATTAACAACTTCAAGAGCAAAAGAAGATAAGAAGATTTATCTATTAATTGGTTTTGAAATCTTCACAACATGGTCTTCCATTACTATTAAGGGAGCATATCACCTATATTTACTTGATGGGAAGTTGGGCCATGAGCTCTGACAATTCATATAAAGGTCCATTAATATAATTGGCCGTCGAAGAAGAATTTCAGGTTGATGAAGATGCATCATCTTCCAAGTCTGATGAAGAAGCTATTGATCCCTGAGAAGTTCTTGAATATTCCCCTAGGGATGATTCAGAAGTTGTAGTCACATCATCATCATCATCTTCCATGTTCAACCAATGATGATCTCCATGTTCCTGGTCATGCTTATCCTTCTTCTCAACAAAACCTGGAACTTGAAACAGTCCTTTCACGTGACTATAAACCATGGAACTTGTACTAGTAGGGAACAATTAGAGAAAGTATATATACAACTTAAAAACTACATTATTAAGATGAGAGAAGATCAAAAGACCTGTTGTCCACCATAATGCGTGAAATTGTAATATCAGCATTACTGTTAATGTGACTCTGTCAAGCATTGCAAATAAGTTACTTAAGCTTTTAGCAATGCCAAAAAAAAAATAAGACCAATTAAGTCAAAGTAATCAATACCTGTAGAAATTCCATATAATCCATTCAATGAGATGATCTCCACACAAGATCAGTATATTTTCATGAATTCCCACCCATTTTTATTAGTTCCTGTTTGAGATGACATGAGAAAGAGAAATAACCTTTCAATTCCTACCTTAAATATCCATATAAATTGCCTCACAGCATCTGCGCTTCCTTGGAGCCACTTCTTCCCTGCCTCTCTTGACGTCTGAGTGGTGGCCAAAACCTGTTGACCGAGTGAGTTTTGTCATGTAATTTAATGATGAATGAACCCTTAATAAAATTACTACAGATCATATATGATTGGACACCAGAATTCCTTAAAAAAAGGTTTAACTTGAGTTTTGCACTAATTAAGCTGACAAAGAAGATGAGGCTTTCTTTCTATCTTCAAGAAAAAATCACAGTTAATTCTGTGTTTCTAGATTAATCATCAATATTCAACAGAAAATTTAATTAAGAAATTCTTTCTCTTCTTTTGATACAAAATCTTCTGCTAGCCATCTTACTCTACTTGCGAAATCAGTAGAAAGTTGCAAATTGATCCTTTATCAACCTTAATGATTTCATACTTCCACAAACCCATCCCCAAAATTGATACCATTGTCATAATATGTGCATGCAAGGTGCCAATTGATGGAAGCTGAGTTGAACTGGGTCAAAACAAAGAGATCTTGTAGCATTGGAATGTCTATCAGCTCATAGCATTCTCTAACTGGAACCTGCAGATCATGTTCACATTAAATCATCCACTACACTCAAAACTGGTACCAACATGCCTAAGATTCAATGTAACAATAGAATCTAATTTAAGTATCAAATTCTGCATCAAGCATATATCATTAAATATCATTAAAATAAACAGACAATTCTGTCATGAAACTGAGCTCAGCATAAGAGAATTTATATGTCCTTACAGCAGGTGTAGCCATCCTTCTGGTAAGTGGAAAGAGGAGTCCCTGCACCTCCTCCCAATATGATTGAAGTCACATTGTTAGGGTCAACTCATTGTCTCTCAACTTAACGTGGTTGAAAGGTCTAAAACCCAAATCAAAGGAGAAAATTGATAAAAAATAACACCGCAAATTTAATACCGCAAAAAATAATTAAAAAAATACTAAAAGCTTAAATGGTCAAAATGAAAAAACCCATTAATTATTTTACCTCGTTTTTGTCCAGGGAAAGGCTAAGAACAGTGAGTTTTTGACTTGTTGAGTGAATGAGTCCGCGAGTCAACCCAGCTAGAAACTCATCCTCGTCACTGCTCTCAGTCTCAGTGGACCCAAAAACAGATTAAACAGAGGAAATGAGAGCAGAGAAGGAGTCGAATGAGTCGAACTCGTAAGGAAACTTAGTTGGGAAACCAAGACCCGGTATTTCTCTAATGGTTTAATTTCTCTACGGGAACTAAGTTGGGAAACCAAGACGATGAGGCGTGAGGGCCCTCCGTGGATCCGAAAACAAATTTTCCTCTGCATTCCTCCAATATCCCAGCTTTTGCTTAGTTTCTCTAAGGAACTCAGTTGGGAAACCAACACTCGTGTAGAAATCTGATCTCAACTGTAAATCTTCCCTAACTTTGTTCAATTCTGCATCGTCTTGGTTTCGCAACGGAAAATTGATCTCAGCTGCAAATCTTTCCCAAGGTCTTTTCAAGTCATTTTCTATGAGGCTTCCGGAGAAGAAGAAAGTAAAAAATTACCCCTCAATATTATTTTTCTACATTGCTAAATTGTCCCTCCAGTACATCCAATACAAACGGGGGACAGCTTTTATATTTAGATACAGATTTTCAAAAGCAGGTTGCACAACGAGATTCCGCGTCAGTATAACAAGTCTATAACAAATCCGCATCACTCTTCTTCCTACAATCTTCCCCTTCTCTAACTATTTGGTACCCTGGTAATTCTCTGACTTTATTGGTATCTTTTTCTTTTTTTTTTCTTTTGCTAACAAAAAAGACATTTTCCCTAGGGAGTAGGGAGGAAGTAATCTCTATAAATGAAAAACTAAGTAAAATGAAAAAAAAAAAAAATGAATACAAAACAAAAACTAAGTAAAATGAATACAAAACAATTTAGTTTGTGACATGTGACTTTAAATATATTGGCTGCTCACCTTACAAACCCAGCAACTCCTTTAAGAAGAGATAATTCTCGTCTTTATAAGAAGAATGGATAAATATCAAATTTACATTATAATAGATTGGGAGCTCCATTTATATTTATCATTCTACTTTTTTTAATATAATTTTACTATCTTACTGTACTTTTTGATGTAATTCTGATCATCGACGAATGAAAATAAAATCTTTCATCTAAACTAAAGAAAAAAGTTGCCAAAAATTTTAATTATTTTTTTAATTTTTATTATATGAAAAATAAAAATAATTTATTTGGCTTTCTAAATAAGGATAATAAAATAAAAATTTTCCAAAAATACCTGCAATGCTATTTATTTTTTATTTAAAAATAATCTTGTTCCCTTCAAAATTATTTAATAAAGAATTTATTTAAAAACTCCATTTATATAATTAGGGTCATTGTTGATATTTAAAAAAGAATTTTAATTATGTAAATGGTATTTAATTATTGATATTATTCAATTTGTTATTCAATAAGTGACATTGTTAATTATTTCTTTATTTGTTAGAATAATTGTTAATAGAAATTTTTGCAGGGAATATTATTATTTTACCATAAAAAAATAAATTGCATTTTTGGTATTTTTAGAAAAATTTTAATTATTTAAATTATCCTTATTTAGAATTTGAAATAAAGTCTTTTTATGTTTTATATGATAAAAATTAAAAAATAATTAAAATTCTTAAATCAATTATTCTTTAGTTTAGTTGGAATAAATTATTTTCATTTATAGGTGATTAAAATTGGATAGAAAAATGTAATAGGATGATAAAATTGTATAAAAAAATAAAATAGTAAATACAAAGTCTTAATCTATTAAAGTGGTGAATGTGCATCATCAATAAATGAGCTTTAATGTCTCGATCTTTCATGATTTCATCAAGGACAAAAAGGCCTTCATGTCTTACCTTGACTTAGTGCGTAGTGCATTAGTATCTTAAGATTTTTGGTTCCTTCAATTTCTCTTTAAAGTTCTTAAAGATAGTTCAATTGTGTTACACTTAAGTTAACTAGTTAACGATCAAAACTTGATCAACACAGTTGGTTCCTTAGGTCGCCCAAGCAAAGCACCTTAAATAGCCATGTCACCTGTTTTAAGAAGATGGCTCGCTCATCATCGAAGGAAGGACTTGCCCAAGGCCACACTAATAACTTGTCAAGGCAGTCGCTTTAGAACTAATCAACTGACATCTAATTTACCTGAGATTATTAAATGCAACCTATGCCTACCTGGAATTATTAAATGCAATTTTTATTTATTTACATGGATCATTCTCAAACTTTACATAAACATCTAATCAACTATTAACTATCTCAATCAGGCCATCACTCTTGATTTTACGGAAGAGGTAAGTGGAAAACTAGATACTCAAGGTAACACAGAACTAAACCTAACACTTTTTGACTTTTCTTCCATTGAAACTTCTTTCACGCACTTCACCATCTTAATCCTCTTTACTTTCTAACCTTACCTCAGGCATTGTACTGACTTGAGCGTCGAAGCTCACCTTAGAGCAATAACTTCTATTGCCCCCCTTAAATGTGTTTTTGGGCTACAGGTTAAAGTTGTCCTTCTTTTCCACCTCTTCACCTTTCTTTTAGCTAAGACACCCAAAAACACCATCAACAATTGGCACTGTTTGCGGGAAAAGATCATTATGTCTCATTAACCACATTTCTCTAAGACTCTAACTCCCACCATTAATGCTCTTACTCAACCTTCAGCTGCTACTAAGGTAACATCCTTTTTACCAATTCATTCTCAAATTTTATCACCAAATTTACCTACTTGGAGTTTTGTATTCCTCGTCAATCCACTTTTATTAAATGCTTAGGCAATACAACCTTTAGGCATTTATTAGAATTTAATCGGAGTTTTATCTCTAAATGTAACATAAACACCAACATTAGTTCACATTACAACACTTGGACTGTTGAACCCTATTTCTCAACTACCCATAACAAAGATCCCCTCCTCATAACCCATTAATACCAACTTATGATAAAACATTCCTCCTGTAACTTCTACTATACATGTCTTACTCCCAGTGCCACAGATGCCAACATATCAACCTGTAATGTAACCTTTTCCAGACTTTTACCAAGCCTTTATGGCTTAAATACAACTATGAATTACTCTAACAGTACCAGTAAGCCACACAATAGCCCCATTAAGAACGTCACCACCCCAGAGAAAGTTTAATATCTTTCTTCAGAGAAACACCACCATTTCAAAACCTAACCCACTTTGAAGAAACATACCCCCAAATCATACATGACAATACTCACCATAATAACTGTACCATAGTGTACCATACAAAACCTAACATTAAGCTAAACACATGCAAACCCAAACCTAAAAAATGAGCTAGCCACACAAGTTACTGCTTTGTGCAAGAAGCAAGTAGACTTGAAAAAATAGAAAAATTAGGATCTCTAGTGGCTTGAGGATGATCATAATCCTCTCACCTCCACCATCAGACAAGTTAACATCCCATCTTCCTTCAAACTACCAAAAGACAACTACAATGGGACCACTGACCCAAAAGATCACTTGGACCATTTCAGGACCTTTATGGATCTGCACAATGCTTTTGATGCAATGAAGTGTAGGGCCTTTCCCATTACCTTGCATGAAAAAGCCAGGACATGGTTCTATTTTATGGCCCCTATCACCATAGATAGTTTTACAATTTTTGGCATATTTTCTTAGTAGTGGGGTTATCATACACTCTTCTGCAAGTTTATTAGTCGTAAAATAAAAACTTATAGTAACTTTATGGTAGTACTTGAAAAAGTTTAATATTGCTACTCTGGAGATCAAAGATCTGAATGCTGAATAAGCCATCCAAGCCTTTACCTCTTGGGTTAGGCATGATTGTCTAAAATATTCTTTGACAAAAAATAAACTAGAATAGTTGTACTAGTTATATTAAAAGGCAAAGAAATTTGCTATGGCCTAAAAGATTATGGTTGTTGATATGGCCGAACGATGTAAACAATGTTAAAAATGTCTGTGATGAGAGAACAAGTAGACTAATTTACCAATCCAGTTGTTTCATGGCAACCGTTAAGCCTGTAGCCAATAAGGAAGAAGAGACTGACACAATAACAATAACAGCAATAGAAACTTCCAAACACAGTCTAACCAACATTAAAACCAAAATAGAACCCTAGATGCCATTACACAACGTCTAGCCCAATGCTCCACCTAAAGAAACAATCAAGTGAAACCCTACTCAGGCTCATAAAAAACCAACCCCCATAAAAAGACATTGCTGCTACCATTCAACCAGAGGGTACCCCACTTATAAGTGTGTAACTCTACAAATAAAGATTGATAAGTTGGATAGCATGATAAATACCCAACCAACCCCTTAAGGTAACAACCTTCCACCCCATCAAAATCATGAAGTAATGAACAACTAGTAAGGTGAGAGCTCATCTTGCCAAATAGAAGAGGCTTGTCAGGAGAAAGTCACAAGCAAGTGCCTAATTTAAGGCATTATTCACATAATTATGTAGGTCGTTAAAGATTAGGCAAACTATAAATCTAAGCATAAGTCACATTTGCGTGATGTAATGGCTATAGATGTTACACTTAAGAGATATAAAATTAAGGACTGATAGGTACAATTCTCAGATAATGATACTGACATCTTGGTGGATAATGGCATCGACCCTATAGTGTTCACAGCAACGATAGCCAACTATTAAGTGCAATGAATATTAGTTGATAGTGGTAGTGTGGTGGACTTAATTCAATATCAAGCATTTAAGTAGATAGGGCTCACGAATGGAGATTTGAGGTCATCAACGCCTATCTTTGGGTTTGTCAATCAACTCATTATAGTAAAAAGGTCCATCACTTTGTCAGTTACGATGGGAGATGGTGAACACACATTGACATCATTCGCAGACTTTCAGGTGTTTGATCAGCCTTTCGCTTACAATATAAATTTTGGCAGGCCATTGATGAAAAAAACCAATATGGTGACTATCATTTGCTATTTAAAAGTCAAATTCTTCACACTCACCAAGGTGGGGTACATGAAAATAAACCAAGTGATAGCTCATCAGTGCCACCTTTTGAGCCTTTAACTTACCCAAAAAGAAAACCAAAACACCAACCCATCCTCATCTCCATCCATAGAAGACCTTGAAAAACATCCCTCCCTATTAGTCCATGTTATAAACCCTATTTTAGCCTAGACCTTGAACATTGACAACTTAAATGCTGATTAAGATATCTACAAGCATATAGAATCAATAAGTAATATAACGATAAGAATAAAAGTATCATCCCACATATATTATAAACAAAAAAAAAAAAACCTTAAACATGCAAACTAACATAAACTAAACTAAATTAACTTAAACAAGCTTTAAATAATTCAAAATAAGCAAAATAGAAACTAAATAAGCAAGATATAATAAAACCTAAATTAATATAGATCCAATTAACATGAATTAATAGTAATTAAACTAAATAACATGAAATATTAAACAAAACAATAAAAATTGAAACTAATAACGTAAAAAAAATCAAAATCACCCTAATCAATTATCATTCAAATCATGCAATACTATAAAACCAACTTAAACCCTAATATACTTTAAAACTATACAATTAACTTAAATCAACCTTTAATCATGCAATATAATTAAAATAAATCAAAATAGAATCTAAACCAATATTAATAAACCCTAAAATAACAAAACTCTA